CGTCGTGAAAGTGAAAGGCCGCTGGGCTAGCGACGCGTTCCTCGTGTATCTGCGCTGCCATGCACAAATCTTAGCTCCCTACATGCAAGCTACCCCCGCACTGCAAGAGCAATTCTTGCGTCACACCGTGAACCTTCCCCCAGTCCGTTAGAACATACCAGGGCATTACACAATGTAAGTCCTTTCCTCCTACAGGGGTTGGGGTATTTGAGCCTCGCTGGATGCGTCGTCAGTCCTCCTAATCACTTGGGAATCGCAGCTCACCTCTCCACCTCAGGTTAGCCCCTCGGGGCCGGACGACGCTGCGCGTCCTCGCCCGAAAACTATCTCTACTCGTTCAATGTAACATGTTCTCTGGACTTAATCAAATACATTTGTTACCTTTGATCTTTCACTCCACCCCATCAACACATCTAAGTGATCCTCAAAGATTGACAACCAACGTTGTAGTGGGTGACTATCCGTAGGCTGAAATAATGCGGAATAAAATAAGATAGAATAAAAGAGACCATATAAGGAAGTCGTGCCGCGATGCCGCTGTTCATTTGCATCAAATTTGCAAAACATTATTTTTTGACCCCCTTACAAACTCTAAATCTGTAAGGGGGGGCCCCCCCCCCCCTTACAGATTAATCCGGATTATAAACGACGGATTAAATCCGTTTTGGGCCACTACGCCTAAGCTATCTGCTGACTAATCCATGACTTGAGGTCCGCCTGACACATGTTCAGCATGGCGAAGGTCACCACCTGGTCCAAACATTTTCCAATATACGCAGTCCCATCCCTGAGCTCCCTGGCGAAATTTTCAGCTGATATTTTAAGATTGCTATCAGCAGACGACGCCGACACGTACCACTGCAACCGGCCAGGGTACGAGGTGAGCAGTGCCGACACCATTTTCTCTAGACTTGTGAAAAAAACTTGTTCCCCAAGCTACCACGACTGTTTTTTTACATTAAAGACTTGTTTTCCTGTGTATACTAACGTATTCCTGCGACCACCACAGGGTCATTCTACTAACTACGAACATCTAGAGTCATTTATGCATCCAATAGTTGGCATTTTCGAGACGTATAAGAGCATGCACTGGTAAGCATCATTTTCATTAAAACTACAGTGTGCAATGTCTGACATTCCTCCTCCACTATCCATGATACCTCCTGGTAGTACCCCGTCTTACCTGGGCCCTAAATTATACTACGACCACGCTGGAAATGCGTTCACCCATGATAACGATGGCGCTTGGGTGTCCCATCCAGGTATCTGCAATGTAAGTCTTATCAAACGATTGTCTACTGGCAGCCAATACTCATCTTATTATAGACTCTTACATCTGATCGGTCCTGTCGGTTCGAACATGGCGACAGTCTGGGTTATCAGGTACGTCGAGTATCATATGATATTTTTGACATGACTAACTATATACATGCAGCCTGCTTCTACCTACGCACTCACTCCAGCCTTCCAGTCCCACGAAGGCACACCTCCACCCTTCCCGGCGTCCAGTTCTCGCCTTGCTCTACGTGAGGCGCCAACCACCAACACAATCAATCCCGTGCTCCTCCCCCTACCTCACTCTGACGACATGGATTTGATTCACCCTGCCAGTATTGCGGAGGCCTGCGGCTACATTCCGGCCACCAAAACAGCAGGTGTGCGTCGCAAGGCCAAAGCCCCAAGGGGCAAAGGCAAGGAGAAGGAAAATGCTGGATACTCTAACCCAAAGAAGCGTTCCCGAGAGGACAGAGATGAGGATGATGAAGCAGAAGCACGAGCGAGGCGAGGCCGCCCTCAAGGGTCCAACAATTATACTAGCTCGGACGTCAAAAGTCTCCTCGACATAGTCCAAGACGAGCTCCCTCTTGGTCAACGCGGGTGGCAGGCTGTTCAAGTTAAGTTCTGCCAATGGGCCAAGGTGAAGCACCGGCCTGAACGCAAACTCACTTCACTCGAAACGAAGTTCAAACAGGTATGATTCAATTTGTATCATGACTGCAACATTACAAGTATAATTACAGTTGGTCAAGACTACAAAGCCGACTGGAGATGGTGTGTGCCCTCCAGAAGTCACGCGTGCCCATCGCATTGAACAGCTCATTAATGAGCGTGCAGGAACACGCGACCTGAACGACACGGATTACGATGCCATGGAAGATGATGACAGTCTGTCTGTCGTCTCTGACCAGAACCAGGATGAGCGTACCTCTCCCCCAATCCAGCATACAGCCATTGCCCGCTCCACTCCTCGTGCAGAAGCCCCAGCTCCACGTCACAATACTTGAGGAGCGGCAGCTACGGATTTACTCACTCGACTTTCCACAGCATTTGACCCGGCCACCCAGCGCAACCGTGACGAAGATCGTGCCAATCGCAGCCTCACCACCACACATCTACTTACCCAAAGTCAGCAGCTCCGTGATTCCCAAGCTGCCACAGAAACCCTGCATGGCCAACTCTTTGATTTGCGCGCTCGCATGTACGACATCGAACGTGAACGTGATCGGGCTGAGCTTCGCATCGAGATGATGCAAATGAGTGGATCCACGCGCCGTCAGCATGTTCGGATGCCCAAACGCAAGAATCTGCATCAAGAGTGGTACCCTGAGGGTGGGGGATCCACTAGGTGGCTTACTGATGAAGGTGAAAGTACCGCATCCGAGGGGCGCAAGCCACCGCGCCTTCAGAAAATCAGCCCCTCTGGGCGTCTCAAGTATTCTGATCGCCCATACTTCGAGGACATCGCTGATGAGCCTATCAAGCCCATTCAAAAGGAGGGGTCAGTAGAGATTTGATTGTGTTATGATACTTACAATGTATCTAGGGTACCAATGTACCATGTAATGTATAATGTATCTAGGGTACCAATGTACAATGTAAAGATTGTTGCTTCCCACCATTCTGCATCTTGCGCTCGGTTTGACTCGAACGTCTTGCGCCCGTTCATGCTCGCATCCAAGGTTATCTGTGACGACACTTACTCCAACAAATCCTGGAGTATTGTAGCCCAGGGTATGTTCCAATTGCGAGAAATCAATCAGGTGAGTCTACCTAATTACTATTCACCATCCAGCAACTCAAAGCGCACTTCCCCTCTGCTTGAGGATCTTCAGGTCACCGTCTTTTCGTATCCGCTTTCATGCTCGCATCCAAGGTTATCTGTGATGACACTTCATTGCATTGCTCATCTGATGTTATAAGTTTTACATGTTGTATCTACTGGTATTCTAAGATGACATGGAAGCGCGAAACCCGATCCTTCTTCCTCTGCTCTGAAAATAGCATGCTTTCAAAGTCTCGCCACACGTCCAGGTCATCCTCAGTAGCCTGCCAATGCTTCATGTACACGGTCCGTATCTGGTTGATCCCAACACGTACAGCGCGCAGGTTGTGCAGCCGAAGACAGATTTCGATAAGGTCGCTGCGAGCTTCTTGGTTGGTGATGTCAAGTGGGATGTGTAGCCTTCCAAATGCGCCTTGGATAGCCCGCATGCCCCATTCTGCGGTTTGGCGGTAAGAGAGTAGTTGGCAGTTAAACACCATGTGCTCCTCTATCTCGGCAGCTGACCTACGCAAAACTTGACCATGTTTCAAAGGTGCGCAAATGTGACCGTCAACGGAAGTCGTCCCACAAGGAAATGCAGTATCTGCGACGATGTAGTAGCCAGGAGGTGTGTCGAGACAAAGTTTAGTATATATGTGAGAGGCGAGACGTGAATCGTGCCAACTTCCAGGCGCATTTGTCCTTGCCGCGATCACAATGCCTTTGTAAATTGATTATTGAGTACAAATTGTTGGAGAAAGACCGAAAAATGCACCTTCAGCAGAAAATGCTATGACTGAACTGACAAAATGTTCGGAAAGCCAACCGTTGTAGGTGGCATTTTCGATATCAACATCGTGTGAGGTCTGCATGGGGAGTTTGAGGCCGTCGATGCTTCCGAAAGCACCTTCTAAGCGTGAGTGACGCGCAACTACGAGGGCACTACAACGCTCGAAATCAGGCCCCCGTGGCCATCGAATTGAGGCATCAACCATAGAGCGCAGTGTTTGTAAGAGTATGGGCAGTCCAGAGGTTAGATAGCGAGAAACAGTGGCGGGGATCAATGCGAAGATTTGTTGCAGGCTAGTCTCGTGCATGGTGGAGTTGAGATAGTGGAGCATGAGGCCGAGTGCTCCTCCAGCATCGAGTGAACGGCGATTCAGGCGTGGAATGCCTTGCGAGTTGGTATCAGGACATGTGATGGACTTGTGGTACCACAGACTGGCAAAGCCAGAGGTAAGGATGAATTCGAACGTTAGAACATCGATCCCCATCGTGGTAATGAACGCATGATCACTGTGACTTGTATACAGCACTTGCCACGGGGTATTCCGATGTGGGTCAGGAAGTAAGTGGGCACGACAAAGGTACAGTCGCTTAGGGTTCCGGGTTTCGACACGATCAAGTCGAGCTAGCTCTATTCCAGCAACGAGTGTAGCTGCTAGCATCCTCGCGTCTTCTTCGTCGTCGAGAAATCCCGTCTCTTCTCCGTCATTCACCAGATTGTGGTACTGTAGTAGCAGGTCGTCCATTGCAGTTTTGACCGAATTATTTTAATCCAGATGTGTTACGGTTGTGTTTTCTGTACATATTAAGTTTTGCAAATATCTTTCAAAGTCCGTTATAATCTATTCTGGATTATTTTGCCTACGGATAGTCACCCAGTACCAAGAGGCGTGCAAAAGGAGAATCCCGAACACAGAGCTCGCCTTTACATAAGCTAATGAACCTTAATATACAGCCACTCTAAGTTATGAGTGACACATTTTGAGTTTCTCGCCAGCGGCCTCAAATCATCGTGAAATCGTTTGGCGAGTACCGTAAAGGGGGTGTTTTTACTACTGTAGAATAGATATAGATAGTCATTTTAATGAAACACGAGCATGTAAACATGATACCTGCTAAATGTCAGATCTTGGATGTGATTTTTGAGAACACGTGACTAATTAATATCAATATGACGCGTCAATATCGAGATGTCGGTTCGAAGAATCAACTGTGCTGCAACCTACCATTGAAGTGTGAACTCTGTCACCCTGTTCTCCCTCCAGCACCTGGCAAGACAACAAGAAAGACACCTGTCGTCCCAGTCAGTGCTGTTTGGCGCTACAATATGCATGAGCACATTTTACAGGAGCATGAGGAATATGTGGTACCGGGACAGAGAGATGCTGGTTTAGCGCTGCCTGCGAATGTTTGGAAGGAGATGAGACTCACGGACTTGGAGCAGACCGCTTCACGCATTCCAAAGACGTGTTGGCAGCCTTCCTATACTCCCCCGGTCGAGATTGGGAAGGAGAACATACCTCTGTTGATTTCCCGCGGTTCAAAATGCTCTGCCGCACCCCAGGCAGGTCCATCTCGTCCTTCAAAGAAGGCTCGAACAACTATTCCAGCAGCTCTTTCTGCACTCGGTGCTTGAGTTATTACTTGACGGCGGACTTATGCCAGTCGTCTACGTACTTCATTCATTGTATTGCTGCAACTTGTACATTTTGCTCTGCGATTGTTCAGTCGATTCGTTTTTTCAAACGACTACCTAATATGGATAAATTGCGTGATCGGTTACGCTGTCACGGTAGGCATAGGGGGTACCCAAGTTCTGACAGGTCAGTGTGCTGAACTCTAGTTTTGCACGCCTCTTGGTGGGAGGCCCCCGGAAGCTCCTGCCAAGGTACACCCACCCGACCAGCTAAAATCGGCCTCAAAAATGCAATTCCAGGCAGAGGTCAAAAATCACGTGGTGTGACATGCTGTGACCTCCCGCTAATGCATGACAGGTGGTGACACGCTGCTCACTGGTGACAACAGCGGCGACCATAGATATTAGAGGCACATAGTATCTCAATCAAATGTAATAAGTTTACTAGAATAGATGTTTCTCGGTCTCTCATGCCCCCCTCGCCGGAATCTTGATGGTAGGCAGTAATTTTAGAATAACACGTTGCTTAAGGTCTTTGGGAAGCATGATGAGAAGCTGTTTTGTGAGGCGTTTGAGCAATGAGGGGGCGTGTATTTGAGTCGGGACATAGGTCGGAATAGGGTTCACCGCTGGACAAGTGTCCTATAAACCTGTCATGAAGGACGTGAAAAATGCAATAGCCGGACAGGCTTTTCGTCCATAGTGTCTCAAAAATGCTATTTTGCGGGGGTACATTAGCTGGAGCTTCCGGGGGCCTCCTGTGGGTCATTTGCAATTGCCTCGTGTCGTACGTGCGGGGCTTTCCGAGCCGCAACATCTTGAGGTTTTGGCTCGTGATGCGGATCATCATCGACAGCTTCAAAGCTTCATGCGCATGTGTTAACCGCAAGGCATGGGTTGTCTGCTTTGAATTAGACAAGATTAGACCTCACTCACTCTTAATTTCGTGTCATGACCCTCTCAATGCGTCCCGGGGGGCATCGCATCCGATCTTAAGTTCAGCCTCATGAGATTCGAGACGAATCTCGATATCATCCATCCGAATGAAATCAGTAAAGCCTTCTGCAATCGTGTCTTGAATTGTCAGCGTCTCAGAGTTTCCTTTACTGTAAGTGACCTCGCCATTTCCACACAATCTGACCTATCATGTGTAAGTGTTATATGAGACAAATTAGACATGGCGCTCGTCAGAATACGTATTAGCTCGAGTTCCCCATCATGTTGAAGTAATCTCCATACATAGTACTTCTTTCTGAGAACTTAACGAGCGCTGTGTCGATGCCTCAAGCTTTACTAACTTCGTTCTGATGTATAATATCAAGATTCATCTCGCGCGCAAGAATCCGACGAGGCTCTTATCAATAGAGCACTGCTTCGGCCGATATGAGCGGGGATGCTAATTATGAATGCAGCACTGACACCACAATTGCAAAGCAGGTTCGTATCCACGTGGTATAACGACATCAGGAGTGTATGGCTGCCACTTAGTTTGAACAGTAGCGATTGCCACTTGTCTTCCTGCTGTGAAGAACCGGAGTAAAATGATGGAAGATTCTGAGACAAGAAGACACAAGCACGTTTACAAGTTAACAATTTGAGATGATTGGGGCAGTAGTGGTGGCCGGGTCCAGTTCTAAACCGTGGTTCGAAGTCAAACCGTTTCATTGAACCCGGTTCAGGAAATAGGGGGAATTGAACCATTCCGGTTCACGGTTCAAGGACTTGCAGAATTCTTGAACCTGGTCCGAACTAGACTTCGCCTTCGGGCATGTTTCACCACCAACACATTGCCAGCGATGTTATCTGAGTTTGTTGTAATACCTGTTGGAGTTCAACATCGTCATCGCTCGTTTTTCTTTCCTTTCTCGTCATTGGCATTTCGGACTCTGTAGAATAGCTTATAAACTCGTTCGTTTCATTAATCATACCTCAGCGCTTCTCTTACCAAACGCTGAGGTATGTATCATATATTGTTTGCACGCCGGCTTTGTCTCACTCTGTTTCGTCTATAGATCTGTCTTATAGGTACTATGAATCTCAGCGCTTCTCTTACCAAACGCTGAGATCTGTCTTATAGTTCAACTGTCATTAGGTTATGAGCCCTGGCTCCTACAGAGCCATCAGACGAACTTACAAGACAGAACTCCTGCTAGGGTCATCCCGCTGCTCACACAAGTCACTTTTCGTCGCCTCCCTCCTGTAGCGGCATCGCTATGGGAAAATTCGACCATATCCCTGAGTTGGTAGGGTCAGAGAATTATGTCGGTTGGTCAACCAAGATGCAGTACGCGTTAGCGTGCGAGGACCTCTGGTGCTACATCAACACGACGGTTGACCTTACGGATCTTCTCGGAACTCTGTCTTTCTTGCCTACCGCTGTTGATCCAGCCAACATCACCGCTGCCGAAAGGATTTTAATGCGTGAATGGTTACTCTACGATATCAAGGCCAAAGATTTAATCACTCGTCGCCTTAGTGCATCAATTGGAGCGCTGGTATCACGCTCACACACTGTCTCGGCTCACAAAGCATGGCAGATCCTTGCGGAACATTTCAACCGCACGGACACCAGTGCCCAATATCAACTCCGGCAGCGTCTTGACTCGCTGCGCATGAAGGACTCGGCTGATGCTACCGACTACGTCGGTCAGCACGCAGTGATCCGTGAAAGACTTTGTGACTCAGGAGCTCCGCTTCGGGATGGTGATGCAATCTACAGCTTACTAATTGGTCTTCCGCAAACGCCCATTTGGCAGCAGTTCAAGTCAATGCTTGAACAGCGCATGCACGATGAAGTCATCACTGCTGCCGCCGGGACCGTTTCGATCTTCACCATGGACAGTTGTGTCTCCCGTATAACTGCTGAAGCCGCGCACCATATTCATGCCCAAGCAATTCACTCCGCACGTCCCGGATCTGAGTACGCCAATGCTGCCACATCCTCCAATTCAACTACATCCAGCATAAACAATATCACTGGTCTACGGAAGCACAAGCATAACCCGCAGGGCATCTTTTGCACGACGCCTGGATGCAACAAGGGCGACCACGACCACGAGCATTGTTATGGCAAGGGAGGAGGAATGGAAGGCCAGGCGCCGTGGATGCGGACCAAGAGGAAGGAGCACATGAAGGAGACGGCTGCTGCCGTCATCACACCTCCTGCGCCCACTCCGTCAGTTCCTGCAGTGGCGGCAGCCGTCACTCCTGCTGCCCTCTCTAGCCTTTACGACGACGTATCCTTTGCGTCCATAGAGGGAGTCCCCAACGATGTCTCTTGCAGTGTCTCCCTGCCCTTCGCAACCATTCTGGACTCGGGCACCACCGTGACCCTTGTTAAAGATCGGAGCTTCTTTCACACGTACTCTACCGCTGAATCCACGCCAGTCCACACTGCAAACCACGGAATCCTTGAGACAACGGGACATGGCACATGCGTCGGATGGCTCACCATCGGGAAACGACGCCTTCGCCTCCGGCTATCAAACTGTCTGCATGCACCGAACGCGATGCTCAACTTACTATCTGTAAGCAGCATGAACGCGAAGGGTTGGGATGTGAGCTTTAGGGCCAATATGACGTGTGAGCTCACTTACAAGCAGAATCATCTCGGCGCGATCCCCGCGACTGGGAAACTTTACGCTGTGGACCTCGACTTCATCCCCTTTGCACATCCTGCGACCAACCTCGTCCGACAACCAGAGTTGTCCGCCTTCACGCATGTACCTCTCTCTTTGGATTTGTGGCATGCGCGAATAGGTCACATCGGCAGGAGCGCGGTGATGCGTCTTGACCGGACTGCAAGGGGTGTTACTGTCAAATCCGCCTCTCCACTTTCTCACTGTGAGTCGTGCATTGTCGCGAAGCATCCTCACCAACTGTCATATCCCGCATTCCGGACCAACATCTGACGACGTTCCCACGCCTCATCCGGACCTCCGGACCTCCTGTCCATGTCTCCAGACCCAATCCTCTATCCGTCCGGATCCCTGTACTCCTGCATCTGATATCCGGATGCCAGATCTGATATCCACATCTCCGGATCTCCGGATCCGACCTATCTGTCATGTCCGAACCCAAACCTTAAATCAGCGCCCATCCCCTTATGGTAATCACCTGTCTCCGGACTTCCAAACATCCGGATCCGACCCACGTCTATCTTCCTTGCGTTCCGGACCCAGACCTATCACGCATTCATCTCCGGACATCCGGATCCGACCCGCGTCTATCTTCCGTGCCTTATCCCTTTGTATGTTCCTTCTTGAGTTAGACTTCCTCATTTTCCGTACCTCATTTCATCTCCGAGTTCATTTCCTATGATCCGTCTTATTTTCTAATACATTTCCACATGCTCGTACATAGCCTTACCCCTCTGCTTACTGATCTGCACAGACTTGCCTCTAGTATATAAACCCCAGTAGATACTCCTGTATTTCCTCAGTCTGAATATCATACACATATTAGTCCTTGCACTAGTCTTCACACTAAGTCCTCGTAACAGTTCTATTCCTCCGACTTAGTAATCATCCATCTCAGGCCTAGGGAGAAATTCCCTAGGCCGGAGCTCCGCTTCTCCGATCCTCCGCTCATCCACTCATCCACTCATCCGATCCTCCATTCCTCCGAGTTTCCGGAAGTTCCTCCGGAACTTTCCCGCGGTCCTCCGGACCTATCCTGCTTCGGACTTTGTCCTTGCAGCTGTTCCTCTGTTTCCTTCTACTCAGGACTCGTCCTGAGTAGCCATTATACATATCCCTGTCAGGACGAAACTCCATCGTAATTTCCGGAAGTTCCTCTGGAACTTTCCCGCACTCATCCGGAAGTTTCTCGCACTCGTCCGGAAAGTCCTTCCGAAGTTTCCCACGCTTCTCCGGAAGTTTTTCGGACTTCACTGGACTTTCTCCGGACTTCATTCTGAAGTTAAGGGCACATACTCGGGTAAGGGGCGCAGCGCACGAGCTGAAGCCAAGCCCCTTGGAATCAGTCCTACCCTTTGTGCACGGTCTTAACACCAACCCTTCCACGCGTCTGAGACCGGACGCGCGCAAAAGTTTCTCGACCTCATTCATGCGGACGTCTGTGGTCCCATACAACCAGTCACTCCTCACGGCAAGCATTACTTCGTCATCTTTCTGGACGACAGCACACATGCCCTTGACCTGCAATTACTTGCGACAAAGGACCAGGCGCTGGCCGCATGGCGCACGCTCCGCGCTCGTTGGGAAAATTTGTCTGGCTCCCGTTTAAAGATGTTCCGCTCAGACAATGGGGGTGAGTTCATCAATGAGGCCTTCACAGCAGATCTGGAACAGGCGGGGATCACACGTCAACGCTCCGCATCCTACACCCACCAACAGAACGGGAAGGCAGAACACGTGATGCGCACCATTGAAGGCCGCATGTACGCCATGCTAGACTTCGCCCGGCTGCCAAGGTCTCTCTGGGGGGAAGCTGCACTTACTGCGTGTTACCTTTTCAATCGGACAGAATCGCGCGCGCTCCCTCCAGGAAAAACGCCCTATGAGATGCTCCATGGAAATCAGCCCAACCTTGCTCACCTGCGTGTCTTCGGAGCCCGTTGCTTTGCACGGATCCCGACAGAGCTCCAACAGAAGCTTGGACCACGCTCCCGTGAAGCGCAGTTCATGGGTTACCCACCGGGAGTAAAAGCCTGGAGGTGTCGTGACATCGTCACTGGGGCGTTTTTCAACTCCAGAGACATTATATTTGATGAGAGTGTGGCTAATCGTCTGTGTTCGGACAGTGATGACGAAGATGAAGGTTCTCCTTCACACTCCCCCACACCCATCCCTCCTCCTGCCATGCCTCAACATCCCGCCGTGCCTCAACGTTCCATGGCATCACAGCCTCCTCATGTCGACGTCATACGCCACTCGGGCCGAATTCCCGTTCCGACAGAAAAGGGCCTGGAACTAAAGAACCGCATGATCGCAGCCAAGGCACGCCTGACGCGCCAACGTGAAATTCGCACAGCACGTATCGCCGGCATTCCTCCACCTCCCAGTGACGTCCTTGTACCACCAGCCCCCGTCATCACTACTCCCACCCTCATGCCTGACCTCCCACCGCCAGACATCCCGGATCCTGATGCAATCACTGCTGAGGACGACGAGATTGGCTTCTCCCAGGCGCTCGCCAACCTCATCGTCGTGGAAGTCGCTTGCTTATCAGTTCGCAGCGACTCACGACGCAATCCATTGGCACCCGGGTATGACCTGCGCATTCCCCCCGCGACTCATGACGAGGCTATGTGGCGACCTGATTGCGACCACTGGCGTGCGGCAATGCACAAGAAGATGAACCTGATGTCGGAGATGAACGTCTATGAGTTAATGTTGTTGCCCGCCGGACGTCGCGCCATCGGGTGTCGGTGGGTGTTAGAATTTAAAGAGGACCTCAAAGGTGGGCCCGTATTCAAAGCTCGCCTGGTTGCACAGGGTTTCTCCCAGATCCCAGGAGTCGACTTCGGACGCACATTCGCCCCCGTTGCAAAATCCACCTCTATTCGTGTCCTGTCTGCGCATGCCGCAGCGCACGATTGGGAACTTGACTGTTTCGACGCATGTCGGGCTTTCCTGTGGGGAAAGCTCCAGGAGGATGTGTACATGAGACAACCCCCAGGATTTGAGCGCGTAGATACGAACGGACTTCCCCTCGTCGCACACCTTTTATCTTCACTCTACGGACTCAAACAGGCGGTGTTTGATTGGTACGAACTTCTGCGTGACGTGCTCGCGCGCCTTGGGTTTCTGCGTTGCGATGCAGACTACGCCGTCTTCATCTTCGATCATGTCAACGGCGAAGGGGTGAAGATAATCTGCATTATAGCATGGCACGTTGATGATGGACTCGCGGGATCGAATAATCGCCTTTTTCTCGATCGCACGAAAGGACAAATAGCAGAACGTTTCGGCATCACAGATCTCGGGCCCGTAACGAAATACCTTGGGATCCAGTTCATCCGCGACCGCAAAACGCGTGAGCTGTGGATGCATCAAGAGGACTATATTGTGTATCTACTGGCTGAACACGGTATGTCCGACTGCAATCCTGTAGCGCTCCCTATGGACCCAAACTTCCCCTTCGGACGTCCGACCGATCTCTTTCCTGATGTCGACGACTTGCAGACGGAATATCGCAAATTGGTTGGCGAACTTCTCTATTTGGCCATGTACACCCGGCCTGACATCGCCCTTACCATCATGAGACTGGCACAACACAATGTCTCCGCTGAACCGAAGCACTACGCGGCAGCCAAGCACGTTCTGCGCTATCTTGCAGGCACATCAACCCTCCAAGCTCACTATGGGGGTGCAGGAATTAACCCATCCCTGCACGGCTTCTCAGATTCAGACTGGGCATCTTGTCCCGAGGACCGTATATCGATGTCTGGATATGGCTGGTTCTACAACGGGGGCCCCGTCTCGCATTCTGCGAAGAAACAGACCACGCAAGCGTTGTCGTCCACCGAAGCCGAATACATGGCACTCACCTCTGCCATCCAAGATGGACTGTGGCTCCAGTCATTCTTCGGATGCCTTAGCATCCCACTATCACTCCCGCTGCAGCTCTTCGCAGACAATGCCGGCGCGATAGCCTTGTCGAAGGAGGCGGCTAATCACACCAGAACGAAGCATATCGACCTTCGTTATCATTTTATTCGACGTCATATCGAGGAAAAGACCTTCGCACCTGTCTGGTTATCAACGCACAAAAATACTGCAGACATCTTCACGAAGCTCCTTCCCCGACCCGCCTTTATGCATCATCGTTCCGGCCTCGCTCTAGTTTGTTATTGAGGGTACCTCCTCTCGAGCACTGTCTCGTTGAGGGGGTGTGTTGGAGTTCAACATCGTCATCGCTCGTTTTTCTTTCCTTTCTCGTCATTGGCATTTCGGACTCTGTAGAATAGCTTATAAACTCGTTCGTTTCATTAATCATACCTCAGCGCTTCTCTTACCAAACGCTGAGGTATGTATCATATATTGTTTGCACGCCGGCTTTGTCTCACTCTGTTTCGTCTATAGATCTGTCTTATAGGTACTATGAATCTCAGCGCTTCTCTTACCAAACGCTGAGATCTGTCTTATAGTTCAACTGTCATTAATACCTGCCATTCTGCGAATCAAACTGTTGGGTGCAGGGAACATTACTAGATGTTCGCAGAAGAACGTGCATCCCAGCGCTGGGTCCGGCAGGCATCTGCGTAATGAGATTGTAAGTTTTGCGGAAACGTCCAGCAGACGAGATGAAGAGATCACCTGCAGGTGCGAGATGAGTCTCTGAGTCTCTTAATTCCGCAGCCCCTGAACGGGACTGGGACGACATGGGAAGTGCGAGCACTCGTTCCTCAGAAGCCCTCGCACTGCGGAACCTGAGTCATAAACCCAAGACATTCTTTCAGAAGATCAAGAATGAGGCCACAAAATTCCGTAGCTCCATGTATTCTGTCCGTCTTCTTCCTCCTAAGCGACAGCGCACACTGCATAGTGGGCCACCTAGTCTGAAGCCCGCACCACTCGGACCCTTCCGGGTTAACAAAGAGCGCGGTCACCATGATGGTCAACCCCGCGTTTGGTGTGACTTCATGAACCTCGGCAATCACAACGTAAACCCAGTTTCCATGCAGTACACACAGACACACGTGGTAAATCTGATCTCGCAGACCTGATGGGTACTAAGAGTAGTGATAGAAAGCCCAGTTCGGTCCAGTTCTCAGTAAGCGGAGTATGCAAACTCGGGAAAGGGTGCGTGCTTCGACATGAACAGAGAAGCCACGAGGTCCTTCTTGTTTATTGGAGGCTTAAACGGCTGATGTTCCTCTGTGGATGGTGGTACTAGCGGTGAAGGTTTCGATGAGCGAGCAGGAAAGGTAGCCGATTTTGGAGGAGTAGCAGGGGCTGAGGCTGACAGTGTGGGAGGTCGGTCAGATGACTGAGACGGGGCGGGTGGGATAGACGGTCGCTTGTAGTAGGTGACTGTCTTGACATATGGGCACGATATTCAGACTGGCAGTGGTGTCATAGGCGACAGTCCAAGTCATTGATGCTGACTGGCAGTAGCCGGCTGCCTCAGACTACTGGAGACTACTGGACCGGATTGACAACTAGTACATGTGCATGAGCGACTCTCGTTCTGAAAGAAGCATGCTATGCGTGTGTCTAGATCAATGATATTATTTCACACTTGTTCTGATTTCGAACGAGCTCGCTAGCTCCGAGTCGTGCTAGCCTTTTGGGACGACCGCCTGTTTCAAAGTCGGTGCTTCCATCATGATACCGTACTTCCTCGTTGCTTCCATTAGCGCCCCCACGTCGTCCAAGCTATCGAAGTTCTGGGTTTGCGGCAGCGGCAGAAGTGTGTCTGACGTCGCGGTCCTTCAGAGTCACGTAATGTTGTAAGCCTTGTGACAAGTGACAAACCAGGAGGCAATTCTGAGTCAAAGTGGCCCTCCCAATTGACAAAGTCTCGCTTCACTTTACCATATGGTTCCTTGAATGAGTCTTTAAAAATGGACCAATCTGTCCTTGGTTATTCGTTAACTGCTCTGGCCATATCGTTACCTTGTGTGAGTGATAATTTCAACGTCAATGTCTGGTCTTTCGTTTTTGTATGATGAGCACCCATTTCATCCTTGTTCTTCGAGCCATGGGCCGTCTCGAGAGACGTTGCGCCGTGGCGAGGACGACAAATTCTGGGTCAGGGAATTATTTCCCTCTTGCCTGACTATCTTCTCCATACCAATCCGCTTTAACATTTTCGCTAATCATCACTAGCTCTATCTAGCTCTCACCTTGCTTTCGCCTCCCCCAATAATAACCCGACCCTCAGAAAAGACATACCGCTCACGAAAATCCCTCAAAGACCCTCTCAGCCTTCCATCTCTCGCCGATGCAGCCTCCATTGATCTCAGCGTCATCATTCCCGCGTACAACGAGACAGCCCGTCTCCCGTCCATGCTCGAAACGACACTTGATCACCTTAACTCCACTTCCATCCACCAGACACGTACATACGAGCTCATCATCATCGACGACGGTTCAAAAGATGACACGTCCGCACTTGCGCTAAAACTGGCACAGCAATACATCAATAGCGATATTCGGGTTGTCACCCTTCAAAAGAACCTTGGAAAAGGCGGTGCGGTACGCCATGGGATGCTACACGCACGCGGAAATAGGCTGTTGATGGTGGATGCGGACGGTGCAAGTCGCTTTGAAGACTTAGAGCTACTGTGGAAGAAGATGGACGAACTTGGGCCGAAGAACGAGCCGACGGTGGTCGTCGGTAGTCGAGCGCACCTCGTCAAGACCGAAGCTGTGGTCAAGGTGCGCTTTTTCTCCGATGTGACATGACTAACTTCTTACACCGCTCTCCGTTAGCGCTCTGTGCTCCGTAACATCCTCATGTATGGCTTGCACACTATCCTACGCATAGTGGGCGTGGAGCATATTCGTGACACTCAGTGCGGATTCAAACTATTCTCACGCCGCGCTGCACAGCAGATTTTCCCTGCACAACATCTTGCCACTTGGATCTTCGACGTTGAGCTACTCCTGCTGGCGAAGCAGCTGGGTATACCTGTTGCAGAGGTCCCCGTACAATGGCATGAGGTGGCGGGGAGCAAACTGAATGTTGTCAAGGACTCGCTACAAATGCTCAGGGACCTGCTCGTTCTCCGCGCTAACCAGCTCACCGGACGATGGAAAGTATCACCATGATGATATACCACGGCCAAGCCAGTCACGGAAAGCAGATTTTGTCTATGCGCATGGTGAATGTACTCTCACTAGCTCTGCAAAGACAACCTAGAATATATCATTGTACATAGAGTAACATCAATTATTATAGATGTAGCGTTACATGCGCCATCCTGAGTGGTGCAGCCACTTTATAAGCACACTCTGGAGGACATTAAAGCAGAACAGCTAATGAGTTAACTGCCGACTTAGCACATGAACAATTTTGCTAAAAGCGAAATTGATCGTCTGCTAAATTGGATGAATACGCGTTGTCCATGGAACCAGTCCTTTCTCGACACAACGGCTTCAATCACGAGGGCCCCCGAAAACATCCTAGAAGTAGCTGACACCATGGTGACGATTTGTTTAGAAAAAGAGCGAGAGAAGAACGAGTACCAGCCAATGCAGCGGGCTTTACCATGTAGGCTAGTCCTACGTTTCATAGTAAGTATGACTGGCAAATAAACCAAAAGAACGAATACGAACCGCCCTACCGCCCTACGAAAGCAACCATCTTCTAGTAGCCTGGATGCCTGTGGTAAGAGACGGGAAGACCTGTACTTATATAAGAGATCACTGGGAGAGGCAGGAACCTTGCGTACAGTTGGGTATTACTTCCCACGGCTGCAGTGTGACCACAATTTGGCTCTGACCTTTACAGCAAGGCGGAAAGCTTCAAAGGTGTCAAACGTTCAGCAAGCAACCTTTACATGTTATAATCGCCTGAGCGAGCGTGACGGAGAACTACTTTCAAAACTACTTGACAGCGGGGCATTAGCGGTCAGATGTAAAGCTCGAGCACTGCCAGAGACACAGCCTGTCTCTAGAGGTACGTCACAGTTTGGCAGTGACTAACTACTTTACACAGGAGGGTCTCTTGTGCGCTTATATGATATCATGCACCATGTATTATGGTTCGTTCCGTATTAATGTTCACTGTGTTGGTCCACTTTTTTCTCTGTTTGCAGTTCTTCACTCGTGACAATAATTCTTCAAGCATCATCCGCCATCCGCAAATCATCTCCATCTCACAACAAGACGAGTGCTTTCTCTTCTTTAGGTTAGCATGTTCCAAAAATATCCCCTGATGAGCTAGAGCGCTGATGACACTAAGGCTCTATAAAGTTGGGCCCTCGTATTGTCCTCATCTCGTACGTTCCCAAGCCATCCAGGTTGTTCTCGCCATGGTCTCAACAGGCATTCCGCTAGATACCGCTACTATAATTTCAACAGCGCTGGAAGCCATCTTGTTTGGTGAGTATTACGATGAGCATTCGTCCATTCCCGTCAGCCTATGGTTCTTCAGGCTTTTCAGTTCTCATGTTCATGGGTACAATGTGGGCTTCGATCCACTACAAACGTGACGCAAATCGCCCGATCGCTTTGGCAGCAATCTTGCTGTTGATATTAAGCACTGCAGTGAGCTCCTCACCTCTTACCCCTGATGCCACCTGCTGAATTTGCCCCAGCACTTGATCGTAGATATCATTCGTCTCGAAGATGGGTTTGTCAAGTATCGTGACGTCTTTCCTGGTGGACCAGTTGCGTTCTTCCAAGATATCAGCCAACCAACATTTGTGACAAAGAACTTGATATACGCCTTGCAAACTATGATTGGCGATGGGGTGGTGGTGTGTTTTATTCTTATTTACCAGCTATTTGGGCTTAAAAAGTGCCTTGTACGATAAAAGATTTATCGCTGTTATGTCGTTTGGCAATCCGTTTGGGTAATCATCCTACCAAGCATGCTGTGGTGCGGCTCCTCAGGTCAGATCGCTACCGTACTCGGGGAATTGCCTGCTGATTTTTTTTATCGAAGTGGCTGCTTTAATCGCACCCTACTACGCTTCGCAGGCAACTGGCGGAAACATCTACACCAATCAGACTGGACAATGGGTCACGGCGTTGTTTACCTTGACACTTTCAACCAATCTGATAAGTTCAGGTAAGCCTGCTTCCGCATGAACATGATGTCAACAGCTCATAACGACCTGAATTTATCCAGGATTACTTGTGTATCGCATCTGGACTGTGGAACGTAAAGTCTCTCGAAACCGCGCTACGGATGGCACCATGATGCCCATCGTGCACGTGCTTATAGATGCCGCTATCTTGTACTCTGCAGCCCTGGTGACCATACTAATATGTTTCATCTGCGCGAACAACGCCCAGTATATTATGCTGGACATGGTAATTATGACCGTCAACGCCCGTTATGAGACTGAAACTCGACCTAGATCATGCCGATCATTTCGATTGCCTTCTACATGGTGTTGATCCGCCTTACACCCTGGAAAACTAATCCAAATTTCCTCCCGATGGCTTATAGCGGGGAAATCGAAAGAAGGAGTTCGCATCGATATCCTATGAAGCCTTCGCAGGTTCATGTATCTCAGTGGACGCAGAATGACGGTATAGAGGAGGAAGTGAAAATAGAAACAATGGATTCTACGGAAGTTTGCAATGTGCCCGAAGGTGAAGGGCAACAGCTCTAGTTTTTTTTTCGGGTTCCAGATGCAGATCATTTCCAGCCTCGCTCAATACTTATTGTACCTCACGCAAATCTTCGGTCCTGAACAAAGCTGCACCTATGTAAACAACATGACTCCTGACAGGTTCGCTGTTCGTCGTGCAGTCTCGAAATACAGTTCTAATGTACTTATGATTATAAGCCATTGCCAGACCTTTGTTTCTCGTTATAAAAGAATATTGTCTTCTATCAAGCCTTTTCACGGGGTGCCCAATCACACGCCCAACCCGAATATATACACCTCCGTTGAGAACGATTACTAGTTGTTGATGCAGGGGACAAGAATTTGTCGACTATTATCATTCAATCAGCAATTAATAATCAGCCGCATCGTCTTTTTGCTTTCAAACTTTCCTTTTCATATCGCCTGGCGGCTAAATAGCGTGTGTGCAGGAGTGAATAATACAGATAGATAACAAGATCTAGCATGGCAAATGTTGTGCGATCCTATACGCGAAAAGTCCAAAATAAAGAACATCGTAAGATTGTTTGCCGTAAATGAGAGTGCTATAAACAAGGAGGACAAATAAGCCCATCGGTATCAAGGTCGTCAAAGTTCATAACTTTTGCCGCCGCTCATCCGCTATCGTCAACATTTTGATCAGGCTAGATTCAAAGACAGGTTTTGTCAAGATGCTGATAGAAATTTAGTTGGATTGAAACGTTATGGACTAGGGAAGCCACATACTGGTCCGCACCCGCCTCAAAGTATTCTTTCTGGTCATTGATGAGTGCATTACCTGCTTCAGCGTCAGAATACTTGAGGGCACAATTCAACTGCAGCACTGACCGGTAATTCCAACGACGAAATCGGCCCTACCCATCTCTCGAAGTTTGGAAACCACCTCCAAACCAGACATAACGGGCATCTGATTGTCAAGAAAGATGACATCATATGCATAACCATCCTCCGTCCCTTTACCATTCTGATCCTTTTCACTATCATGATTGAGGTCGAAGACCCTGGAATCAGGTCCATCTTCGGTCTTCGAAGTTCCTGGACCGCCGATGATCATCTCCAACGCGATTTCACCATTCTCAGCGGTTGAGACGTCGCATCCTAATCTCGTCAGCATTCGAGACATAACGGTACGAGTAATTCGGTCGTCGTCAACGACTAGAACAAGTATAGGCGGATCAAAACCGGCAGTGGACCCTTTGCGGCTCAGGGGCAACGGTAGGGACCCCGATAATTGGGAAGCTAATGACGGCTGTCGACCTGGCGGGTCTGGGCGAGTTGACATAGATGACATAGCTGGAAGTGGGGTAGCGTCATCAAGACTTTTCAGCGAATCCGCAACGACCGTAGGCGAGCTGTCAACTGAGTATTTTCCCATTCGAGAGAACATGATGCTACCCAGGTTCTCGCCAAACTCATAGACAGGTGGAGTGGGTAACGGAGGACCAAGCTGGGTGCCTGACGAGAGTTTGCTGGTAGTCCGAGTGAGCCTGTAAGTTTCAGAGCTGTTAACTGTATTTGGTAAATTCAACTGCACCAGGCCCCCTAAAATCGGATGTTTGCTTTACACGATGAACAGAGTATGTATAATGCTGACCTTCGTCCATCATGGTCTGCATGATGTTTGTCGAGACTGACTGCGTCGGGGCACTGCTTGTCAGTAGATCCACTGATAGCGGCCCGGCTAGCTCAAAGGTGCGCTGCTTCTCGCGCAAAGTTGACTCCGCGTCTGGTTCATCGACAACTTTAACTCCGACACCCAGCGCTATTGCAAAACATGTGCATAAACAATTGAAGTCGGGCTGAACAACCTAGATAACTTACGTAGCTCGACCCAAAATGTTGACCCATGACCAACTTTAGAACGCAGGCCTAGCCGACCGCCGCTCAGCCTTACGATCTGGCGGACGAGGGCCAGGCCAAGACCGGTGCCCTTTCCGCCTTGTTGTCTACCTTGCTCCGTCTGATTGAATGCAGCTGAAAAAGTGAGCATCTCGCAACGAATTCACGAGACGATCACTCACAAAACAGCTTGCCCTGCGCCATCTCCCTGGGCGGAATTCCGTGTCCTGTATCGCTAACTTCAATTCGCACAACGATTTGCTTCGGTGGGCCCTTCTTTGTTGAAAATTCCATGTCCTGTCCCCCGCTCGTTGTTGGATGTAGTGGATCAGAATCATCAGCGGGTGCGCAGAGTACTTCCTCTATCGCATCTTCGCCTATATCAATCTTTGGTCTTGAATTATTTGAAGGTTCTGGCGCGGGATGTGCAGGAAATATCAAGCGTGTTGAACACATTATTCTGCCTCCCGCAGGGGTAAATTTACAGGCGTTGCTAAAAATGAAACGTTCCAGATAGTCTTGATGACGTATGGATAGCTGCAGACCTTGCGAGATTGTTGATGATCTGTCGCAGCCTAGTAGCATCCCCAAGAACGATACCGTCTTCCTTGTTGTTCAGATACTCCTCAGATTCTGCCAAATTGTCGCCTGCAGCCTCGAAAGCGGCTTGTCGCGCAACCTTGTCGATGGTTTCGTCAAGAGAAGTTACGAGTTCAAGATTGCGGGCATCTGTTGCCATGCGCAGTGGAATGAACAACGAGCGCATAACAGCATGGAATTTGTAAGGTTTAGACAAGATCTCGAACAGACCACTATCCATGCGATTGCTAGGAGCGATGTCAGACACGGTTCCTAAAAGCGAGGGAGCTACTCAAGCAAGTCAAGCATGTCGTTGAGAACTGCTGAGCAATTAATTAGCTGCAGAAACTAAACGAAGATGGACTTACCTTTAGACATCATTACCAAGCTACCCCCTAATGCCATGAATTCTATTTCTTGCGCTTTAGATACAGCGCACGACGCCTCCATATTCTGCACGGCAAGCACTAGACGCTCGATCAGCACCAGCTACCCTGTACCTGATAACACCTACGAGCTGTGTTCAAGGGCACTCGCACCTGTAAATTTCTAGTGAGTCAGGTGAGGACAAGAAGATACTGTACTTATCATGGAAGACATATCTAATAACAATAGTCAGTCAGCAAACTATGCAGGCATGCGAACATGATGCGTACGATGTAAGCCTCCTCTTAGAGTCCGCTTCTTTTCGCTCGTTAATTTGAGCCTTCTGGGTAGCCTTAAATTGGGTTTTGAGTTGCTCTCGGAGAATAAAGAGACGCCGTTCGGACTGTGAAGGTGAGAATAAAAAAGATAGGAACACTTGTTCCACCCACATTCTCATGCATGTAATGCACAAACAGGAGGAATATGTGATACAGGAGAAAATTAAGCATGTCTGGAATGTTTAGTGAGCTAGGGGGATAAGACTGGAAACATTCAACGCACGCTTGGTCCATATTGGCTTATATGGCAAAATAAGAGTACTTGAGCTATGGGAAATCAGTATAGGCTTCGCAATACATAAACTCGTGTATATCTTACATAACCAGGAATGTCAGTGCCCCCGCCATAGCAGCGATTCTATTCATCCGCATCCCGAACAATGCTATAGTTTGCAATGCAGAGGTATAGCTAGAAGCAAGGATAAGTAGTTTTGAGCTCGAAGGCTGGTACCACGCACTAGAATGTTCCGAGGAAATCCTTTGTTCCGCATGTATTATCTGCACTATAATATCCACATACATACCTTTACCCAGTATCAGAGTCCAGTAGAAGGCATAACGCTAAGGCTCACATTGTCACGATCTCATACAGACACCTCGGGGGAAGTCAAAATCATTGTATTTGCAAGCTCCATATATACGACGCTCACCATGACCACGTTGAGATCATTAAAAGCAACTGGTAAGGTATTCGACAGTCGCGTGGGAAATCGAATATGACCAACATGAGGAGAGGAATGGTATGCGCAGGTATAAACTATTGCAAATTATGAACATGGCCAATACATGCAAACAACATTTATACTTACACCCCATATCCATGATTTATCGAGTATGGTGTTGGGCGTGGCAATTGTTGCTGCTCCAATGACCCAGTTGGCAATGAAAAATATGGCCGACCAAATTGCTAACGGCTGAACAAAACGTCAGTTAGGTAGCAGGGAAGTCCAGAAGGCACAGTACCTTTCTAATATACCAACGCTCCCCTTGGTATCGTTCTTCCGTCTTTTCGTCATTAAAACGAACAAGAAAAAAATTATGAACTGCTGGCCAAACGTCCCAGCGGAGAAGAATGAGAAATTGACGGAAGAAGCCACCATCATCTGGAAACGCTGTACTTTCATGGCCGACGCTTGTACTAGCCCTTGCACCGACATTAGCCATGTGGCTATCCCCTGAATTATCCGAAGCGTATTCAGAATGGTCCGGCGAGTTCTTTATATCCTCTGTCCAATCTCGGTCCACGACAATTTCGTCGACTTCGTCAACGTCAGTACTATCTTCTGTTCTTAGCCGAACTTGACCGCTGTCGCGAAGACTGTCCACAAGCGCAGAGGATAAGGACGGGGACTCGGTACCCATGCGCTTCATGAAACATTCCCAATAAACGCATCTTTTCGTGTTTTGGTGGCCTGAATCTGCAGTACTAGTCTGTGTAACAGGAAGTGGCAAGCCCGTGAAGTCCTCGGGCTGACGGGTAAAGAGAACAGACGCCGTATCGCCCATCTTTGCCTCAACAAGCTGACGTCGAGTGTCATCATTGAACTTGGACATCGCTGCAAGACAAGAGACCGAGCAGCATGTGGAGGGGTGTATATGAGATCTGATGAATGGCCTGCCTGGAAAGTGACTGTAAGATATCCGAGGACACGAAATTGCATCATAAGCTCACTATCTCCCCATAGAATCCGCGTTCAAGGCCCGCTCGGATAGACTTGAGCCTTCTTCTTCTTTGGTGTCATCGTGGAAAGTCAACGTATGTACTGTATCAGTAGACAAGCGCGCGTTAACATTGACAATGCTGCCGCAGTGGGAAATTCACAGTAATCATTCGTTGCGAATGCATCATATAGCTCGCGGAAGGTTCCTGAAGATGGTCAACTACTACGTATGTGTTGCACACGATGTACAAGCTACATACTTTCTCGGTATCGCGGAAAATGCATGTCGACAGCTAGCGGGAAGCCTGTCCAGGGCTAGGTACGGCCAGTACGGCATGTGAACTCAAATGGCAACAAATGACCAGCTCCGACACAAGAGTGCCACGCTATAAACATGTCCGCGCAACAAACTCAGACATTGGTTTCACTGTGTTCTCGTGAAAACAATCAAGAAAATATAAGCTGAAAATTAACATGTGTAGTAGTGGGAAGCTTGTAAATATTGATGTTTTGTGTGAGGCGGCGGGAATATTCGCGCCCATCGGAGTTTGATTACTACGCAGGCTTCTGCCTTTCGTGGATCACACCTTCTCCACCTCGTTTCCTTCATTGTACAGCTCATACTATCCACACAACAACACAATAAACAGCCAAGGCGAGTCAATTTTTTACGGTATTGAACTTGATTAAGGTCAAAGGATATGTTTTGATCCCCTGCAGATTTTTCTTGCAATCTTTCCAGCAAGCGCTTATGACAGCCCAGGTTACCCTGAAAAGCGGGGAGAAGGTCAAAGTCAACGGTAAAAATCCAACTCCTTTCCATATCTTCTTCTGACATCATTCTGACTTGAATTACGAAGACCATGTATATTGTTCTCCACCATGGTCTGTTCGAGATGGTACCCCATACTCTATAGCCCGTATCATGGAATTCCTGCCACCGGAAGGGGCAGGCAAAGGGAAAGGGAAAGGAAAGGAAATATATACCCGCGTTCGATTGGCTTGGTATTATCGTCCAAGCGACGTCAGTGATCGTCCGGTCGCAGATTCTCGCCTCCTTCTCGCCGCCATATATTCAGAGATCTGCGACATAAACCAACTTCGCTCCCGGTGCCACGTTTTGCATAGGGATAAAATAACCGACCTAGCTGGATGGAAGAAACGCCCTGACAGGTTTTATTTCAATCGTCTTTTTGATCCTTATATCAAGAAGGAGTTTGATGTTATTCAAGCGACTGACGTTCGGAATTGTACGTACAACTTCTCGTTACCTCCGCGGTTTCGAGTCAACATTTCCCTGTAGTGCCCGATCACATCAGACAGGTTTTGACCTCAAGATACGAATATGTGGTAGCTGAGAAAGACGTGGTTCCAGACCTCACCGACACTCTGCGGTTGTGTGCAACCTGCAGTGAATGGTGTGCAAAGTACGTTGTTGATGGAGGAAACATTTTTATTTTATGCATATACTAACATCATAACATCAGTCCTGACACAGTAGGGTGTGATAGATGCAAGAATTTCTTCCACATGAGCTGCGTACAACCTCCACTTCTGGCAAAGCCATCACGCGGCTACGGCTGGACATGCGCCCCTTGCTCTAAGCGCCATGAAGAGGAGGTAGATAAACATGATGTTCGACATCCGACCCCCGTTGCGAAGCCAAAGTCTAATGCGCCTGCTCCACGAGGCAGGGGACGCCCGCGTAAAGACAGGAGCCTTGCGGAAAAGGAAGAAAACGTCGAGATCAAGTACTTTAAAATGTGGCCGTTTCGGTACTTTGGGTAAGTGTATGCACCTGACCGCATCCCTATCTCGATAGGTATTTAAGAGCGAAAGCTGACTGCCCATGTTCCCATGAAGGCAATACACAGTGGCAGAAGATACGCTTGGTAAGTTTGAGTTTGATACGGGATGTGTGGAGCTTAGTACATTTGGACGGTAGATCCTGACGATCTCATCTTCCCTCGATCTGCTACACGCGTTGGCCCCAAATATCAAGCTACTGTTCCAACTACGCTTGATGTACCCTCGCCTTCAGGTAGGTTTCTTCTCCTTTTAGTCCGGGACGCTGCTCAAGGCAACTTAGATCCGGAACAGCGGGGCGGAGACTATACCGTCGAAGTTCTGAGCGCGATCAACACCTTGACAGATGAAGAAAGTACGTATTTTTAGCCTTCCCTAGGCTTAGGTAAACAACTTACTTTTTTCACAGTCGCTGAAAGTAGGTGCCTTATGATCTGGGGGACTATATTTGCTAAAAACACAAATTTCAGTGGAAGCATGGAAGGTGGTGTTGAGCAGAAAACCGGAAAAATTGCACAGTGTCGACTGGCTGACCGAGGCCCTCAGGCGGTTTACGCAGGCACATTTATTGAACCGCGGCTGGTCCACTGTTGATATGAGTGTTATTCCCACCCGTCCAGAGAAGGTAATGTCCCAGACGTGGATTTTTTTAGTGAGAAAATCTGACTGGTTCGATAGTGGAAGAAGGGCGAAACAAGGCATACCGACCGGGAGTGGACCGCGGATGAGGTGACTGCTTTTGAGGACGGCATTTTCCTCTACGGCGCTGAACTTCGGGCTGTACATGACGAAATTGGTACCCGTTCCATGGCTGAGGTCGTGCGGTTTTATGGGCAATGGAAAAAGTAGGCGTAGATTATCTTCCCTGATTTTTCTTATTATTCTTTTCCATCCAGCTCGAGACTAGAGGAAGAGAATGTACGAATCCGAGCCGCGAGACTCAAGGCTAAAGATGAGGGCAGAGATGAGTTGCCCTCAGCTACTGCGGCTGTCACCGACCAATTCTCTGATGACGAAGGTTCAATCATGCCTGGATTGTCCAGACACAACAATAGCTGTGGCGCATGCCGTACTCGTGAATCGGAGAACTGGTGGAGGGCTCCCAAGGGCCTTGCTACTGATATTCTCTGTGATACTTGTGGGACGAACTGGCGTAAATATGCGGACCTTAATTTCCGTACAGTCCGTGAGGATGTTCTACCGCCTAGCAAGAAGGGCTCGGATAAACGTGAAGGTACACCCCTAAATGGACCTAGTACGAAGCGAGTGAAGGTAATGGCGGACGTGCCCTGGTACTTCAATTATTTACTTTTGTTTTCTCTAAGACCTCAACATCGGCCTCTGTAAATGCGACACCTCCCCCTAATGCTCCAATGGCCCCACAACTGCGTTGCTTGGCATGCCAGAAGAATGGTCCAGTGGGTAAGGTACTGAAGTGTAACCAGTGTCAATTCCGAGTGCATGCAGGTGAGGTCGCTGATTTAATCACGTCATACACCAATTCAACAGCACGAATATACAGCATCATGCGGCGTCCACGTGGAAAAGAGCGCCGTTGACTCGTGGATGTGCGACATTTGCCAGAACGAAGAGACCCTGGAATCATCTATGGTAAATCGACCAAAAAAATTGGTTTGTTATAACCGTATGATAATAACTTGTATTCTCTAGCACACTGACTGTTTGTTGTGTCCACGGCGCAAATCCAAGAAGAAAGTTCAATTCCCCAATGCTGATTCATTCTTACGTGCTTCCAAGCCTACAGAAGGACAAGGTTGGGCGCACGTACTGTGTGCTGTCTTTACTCCTGAGATCAGCTTCTCGGATGTGTCGCAACTCCGGCTCGTTGAGGGCATCAGCACCATACCCAAGCAGAGATGGGCATCTGTAAGGACGCATCCGTTTCCTTTATCCTTATTTAGTTGACACGATTAAGCAGAAATGTGCTCTATGCGGCGAAACCAGCGGTGCAGTCATCCGATGCAGTGACTGTGTCCGGGAATACCACTCATCTTGTGCTTGGAGGAAAGGTCACCAATTTGGTTTTGAGATCCAGCCGGTACGGTTTTTTCGTTTTTTTTCGTCGTTTTGCGTCATAGGATAATTATTGCAGGTGCGTCATCCACGTCGGGATGGTATAATTACCACCTTCAAGGGTGAGACTGGCAACATGGTTCCTGTCGTATGTTGCCAGGAACACGAGAACAGCAGGCGGGAACTATATGATGTATGTGAAACGGATGAGACTGGAGAGGTGAGGGATCACGATGTTTCACCTATTAGAATTGCTGAAGCGGTGCGGCAGACTGCTCTGCAAGTTTACTGCCGGATCTATAAACAGGCGCCTGTAACTCAGGCGCATGCTCTACTTCGGAAGGCTAGGAGACTCGACCAAACCTTGAATATCCGCACGGACGGCGCCTCGTCGGCTGACGTTTCGGCTGAGCCTGCGCTTCAATGTGATATGTGCTCTACAGAGTACTCCCCTGCATTCTATCCGAGTGGACATTACTCGGGCCGTTGGCGGTGCCACAAATGCCACTTTGAGCACCGAAATGGGGTTGGTACTGGCCAGTCTCCTGATGATAGTCTTTCCCCCCTTGATGACACAATGGATGGATAGACGCGGGTCTTTTTGAATACCCCATTGTATTTTAAATGAACTTTGTACGATACTAGTGCACTCGTCGTTCAGGAAAGAACATTAATATTCAGAGTGGCTGCTTGATGTTGAGTTATGTAATCGGGATCAATATTGTCACACGATGTGGGACTAAGTAACTTGTGTTGTTCTGCCAAGTATTTCGCTCCGTCGCCGAGCGGCTCAGTACCTGCCACGCACTGAATCGCTGACTCTACTCGGGGCTACTCGAGGCTACTCTTTTCGTTTTCTTGGATGCCTGGTGTCGTTGTCCTTTCCCCATCACCTAGTCTCGCAGGGTTCGGTCCAGACACTCACAGTACTAATAGAACACACCTGCCTCGACAACTTATCGATCCTACCTTAAATTCTTCAACTATGCACAATGGCTTGTCATCTTTAGGATCTGTCCAGGAGATCAAGGAGCATGCTAAAATTACTGCGGAACGTAGTAAAGGTTTTAGTGCCAAAGCACTCCTTGGGTCGGCCCGTTCCCAGATGCACCAGGCTCAACTCAAGGATGCCGCTCGGGACCCAAAGGCAGCTCTGCATGCCTTATACGTCGCAGCTAACCTGATGACGACTTATACGAAGCATTCCAGCTACGCCCCAGACAGGACTAAAGGGAACCCAAATTACAATGAGTTCCGACAGTTCTTCCAGGTTCGCATCATGTCTTCAGTGTAGAGTACCATCCAATGATATCATCCACAGGAATACAGTGATTCTCTGAACCGCATCAAAAGCCTCGAGGCGGAACTTGATCTTGAGAGATCGACGACAACGTGGGTGCTGCGCCCAACAGATTGTCCCTCGTATATATTGACTCTTCTTTCTTCCATAGTGTCTCACCTCATCAGGGAGAATTATCCAATATGAAGTCGCTCGCAGATCGGATGAAGATGCTTGGTCAAAATGGACTCGTCGACTCCACGACGAAACGCTATTCGCGGGAAGTTGCTCCTGGGACTCCTCCTCCCTTGTACCTGCCGGATCCAGTCCGCTCTAATCGAACGTCTCCCTCGTTGTCCTCGACTGTTGTCCTCAGTACCTCTTCATCCGCATCAAACTCTACAGCACCTTCACCATATGCATTTGTCCCGCCGTCGTCACTGGGGCCGCCGTCCCCGACGTCTACTGAATCATCAGAGACGGGGTTTGATCGAGTTGCTGGTGGAGTCGCTGCAACCAATGAAATGGAAAAACCAAGTGCAATCAAGGATCTAGGAGGTATATCAACATTCGAACCAGCTTCCCACCCCTGGAATCCTACAACAAATGACGTGCTGTCTGGCATACCCTCATCACCTGAGCGCCGGTTTCCGGAATTGTTAATGGACTCCTCAGGGTGAGCATTCATTTTTCGAGCCTGTGTCCAGTATTGATATTTTGGTACTAGGTCAACTTTCGAATCAGCTTTACGCCCCTGGAAACCTTCAATAAATGACGCGCTGTCTGGCATACCCTCATCACCTGAACGCCGGTTTCCGAAATTGCCGAACGATTCCCCAGGGTAAGCTAAACCTTTTCCATCCTGCGTCTAGTATTGATGTTCCGGTACTAGGCTATTGCTTAAGTCCCACGATTCAGATACATTAAGTGACACTCCCGCTTCCATAAGCCGCGCGAACATTCTTACGCATATCCCGTCATCCATCTCATACAGTTATAGCCGTCCTGATAGTGTACGTGGCATTTACCCTAATTTGATCACACGTTGCTCATTGTCCCACAGACACCCCGCACACCTCCCGTGATACCCCATTCTCTCGCAAACGGTTCTGCAGCGGCATTCACACCGATCCAATACCCCTCCTTCTCAACCACAAGTCATTCCTCTGCTTCGAGGTCAGGGGCCACGTCCTTAATCTCTCACCCCCCAGCAATTCCACCGCAAGCGAGCATCAACCACTCTCCGCTTGTCCGGAGGCGAAGCGACTACGTCGAACAAGGTACTGGCAGTGCGTCATTTAGTGCTCGCCTCCCCATCGACTACCCCGATCTACCTCATTCTCACATTATTCGCCCTCCCCCTCCGGTTGCTTCCTCCTCGTTCCAGCGGCATCATTCGCATTCGCAGTCCTATTCCGTTAGCACGCTTAAGGAGCCTCCCAAACCGCCTACAATCCCGTCTAATTATCCCGTGACATATTGGTCTGACATGCAGATTGTCACGGTTGGCCTCAAGAATTTGGGAAATACATGTTACATGAATGCTACAATTCAGTGTCTCAGTGCCACAGTGCCATTCGCGAGATTCTTCACTGGTATGTATGAATGTCAAAATCTACACCCAAATGAAGGGCTTATAGAAGATGACTCTGATATAGAAGGCCGGTGGAGGAAGGCTGTCAATGCGGTCAACCCCATGGGAACGAAGGGGAACCTCGCATCGGCGTTCGCAACTATTCTCTACGAAATGTCACATTCCGAGCTTCCGCATCTGATCCCCGCTTCGTTCAGGGTAAGTTTATTGTCTTCATTAGTGCACAACTGACTTCGTCGGCAAGAAATCAATATGCACACATGCTCCTCAATTCTCGGGATCTGACCAGCATGACTCGCAAGAATTCCTCACCTTCTTACTTGATGGTCTCCATGAGGACCTCAACCGTGTTCTTCATAAACCATCCAACGGAACGACGCCTGAACGCGAGGCCGAACTGGAACGGCTTCCTCAGTCGATTGCCAGTGCACAAGAATGGGAGATTTACCGAATGCGGAACGATTCACTTATTGTAGATTTCTTTCAAGGACAATTTAAGAATCGGTTGGTGTGCTTGACATGTCGTAAGGTGTGTTTGGAATCTTCTTAGACATTCTCAAACACTTGACAATGCTTGCAACATCATGCAGACATCGACGACGTATAATTCCTTCATGTACCTTTCGCTTCCCATGCCTTCCGTAAAAGGCCTGTCCAAGACATCCCTGCAGTCGTGCCTAGACGCTTTTGTTAAAGAAGAAGTACTTTCGGGAACGGAGGCTTGGTATAGTGTCGCATAATCTTATGGCATTGTTCTCATGTCATTACCAGGCACTGTCCGCATTGCAAAACTTTGCGTAATGCCACCAAACAGCTCTCGTTATCACGCCTTCCACCAATCCTGCTCATTCACCTGAAGCGCTTCTCGCACAAAGGGGTATTCACAGACAAGATTGAGACCGTCGTCGACTTTCCTCTCAAAGGCCTGGATCTGACGAATTACATGCCTCCGGCTCTACCCCCTGGGATGCATAACGGTTCAGCGAATGGTATTGGTGATCCGCGAGTACAGACGCCACCATACAAATACGATCTATACGGCGTGACGAATCATTTTGGAAATCTAAGCAATGGACATTGTGAGCTTTTCCGCTGTTGCTATGTTACCTTCTGTCAACCCGGGTGTCCAGATACCGCTTTTATCGCTTCTCGTGGAGGATGGGTTTATTGTGACGACAGTCGGGTCATGCCGACTGACGCCAAGGACATTGTGGTAAGCTTCTGATATGCAGGGTGAGACTCGTACCTGACAATTTTCTTAGGGACGCCCAGCATACGTGTTGTACTACAAGAGAATCGAATCATAGATCAAATCACTATTTAAGATGCTTATTTGGATGTTTATCTCCTGGAGTCAAATCAAACTTATATCACTATACTTGCTGTCATCCCCTGTAGCTCGCCCGTCGACATGACGCTCCTTACTATTTGTTTCTTTTCACAGAATTTTCTTAGTCTACATGTACTCTCACACTAATAATGACATTCACTCTCGGAGCCGTGAAAGACTACATCGATATATCATGGACCGGTCATGGCAGCCACCATGCGCTTCACGTAGTGTATACCTGCTGTTCAGGAGGCCTGGTGATAGCTGGTGATCAATAAAATCGCGAGACGCATCGTAGTAGCAAATAAGTATTGAAGACGATGACGCCGACAAGTCAATATCTCGTTCACGAGTAAATTCAAAAGCACATACCATAGGCTCAAGGAACAACGACTGATTCCATTCTATTAGTCCTACGGGAGAAAACCGATCTGCGATGATCCTGTGCTCCGAATCAGACAAAGGTTTCATCACACCAGATCCAGCAATACTGGTCCTCGACTTGATTCAGTGGGTGAGTGTTGGAGGTTGAAACTCAGTCAGGAATGGATTCTGTTGCATACTAGTTTCAGAAAGAACAAGGAAAAGGGCTGACAGGGGCGAATCCATGACGAATCTATCATGATGCCCATTGGGGGGGAGAGATCTTAGTGACTGGGACGGTCTCGAACCCATTTCTCGATGAGGACGGAATCGGCATGTGCATCACAGAGCTGAGGACAGTAGTACTAATATGATACGTGACAAGACACGCAGAAGATGTGAAGTCATTGACAATAGCTTTATCATCGATTGAACCCAATCTGAATCATGATTCGATTTGTGATATGTCACAGATTTTACGCTGTCACGCATTAACATTGAATACACGTGACCGAGTCGCGTCAGAAGTAGTTCAACATCGACGACGCCGACGACAACCACAACCAACAACTCAGCACTACGACCGATGATGGCCGTCACACCACGAAAGCTGGTGCACTGGGGTCTTGATGTCTCTATTTCTGATCTTGGATCACCATGCTCGGAAGCAACGTCCTCCGATTCCGTCGCGTCAACGTCCAGTCTGGAATACATCAACTCTCAGCTTGTGGCACATGGATTCACCCATTCACCCGGGATCTCCTTTGAAGGACTCTCAAATCCTGACACCGATCAGCTGGCGAAGTGTTTGCTTGCTATGTTAGGCCAAAGAGTGGTGCGTTAACGCAGTTATGTGACAGCCCGAGTGATACCGGTCTCATTCAAGACTATATTAGAATGACATGTCTCGCGCTGAAGATTTATCGACCAGTTTGCGCACCCTTTCTTATGACCACGAGCGGCTTCTGGGGATGCATCGTTCAGCCACTGAGAAGGCAGCTAATGCAGAGCGCGAAATGAACGTTTACAAGTCACGAATGGCGTGAGCGATTGATTAGTTTTGATCGAAATTTGGAATCTAAATTTTGTGGCAGAACGGCCTCCAAAACCTTGGCAGCTTCGGAATCAGCCCATAAGCAAACTTCAGCCGAGCTTCAGCGCACACGCTCCTCGTTGATCGCTCTCCGGGCGACTCACTCGGCGGAAATCAAAAAGAAAGAGAAAGACGTCGAACGCATTATCGAGAAATGGTCAAAGCTTTCTGACATGCAGACCAAGCTGTCGACTTCGTCCTCGGGATTGACTTTTCGATGCGGTAATGCCGACGTGGTGAGCGGGTCCGAAACCCTTGGCAAGGGAAAAGGATACCTTGAGATTGCTCTTGAGCAAGCTGAATCTGCTCGCGCTTCACTAGCTGATGAAACGTTGGCGTTACAGCGACTTGTTGTAAATGTCGCAAACCGACTGCAGTCAGTACTGCACGAACTGCGATGTTTGATTTCGCCTTGTGATGAAGAGGTGTGACTGCAGCTTCGAGCACAAACCAACCTGCTAACCTGTCCGTAGCCTGCAATAATAACGCACAGCGTATTGTTCTCTTTAGCACATCCCAACGCTGCCAATGACAAGCTTTCTGCTCTTTTTTCCTCGGCGCACAGCATCTTCGATGACATTTCAGAACGCCTGTCACAGCGAGCTGCCGCACCACCAGCACCAGACTGCGCCAAGGCTTCGGATGTTCTGGAGAATAAACGATTACAAGGAATCGTCGACGAGTTGCGCTCAGAACTTGGTGCGTGTCTGGATGCCATCGGGTTTTCTTGCACATACCTAACAAGTGTTCGGAACAGATGGAGCTAAGAAACTCCACGACAGGCATATTGTAGAGACTCAGGCCCTCTTGATGCAAATTGCATCCCAAACATTATCTACAGAACGCCATCCAAGGGACGAAAGCGTCGAGCTCATGACACAGCCAGAGCGAGACCTTGCCGCTGAGCGCCTTGAGCGAATGAAGACCGAACTTGATGAGGAGCGGAAAAAGTTTACCGATGCTGCTGTCAAACTCGGCAAGGAGAAAGCCGCTCTGGAGGTAAAAACTCAATACTTGGGTCTAGCGCGTTACTGATGATCGCACTCAGACTGAGCGCATCCAGTTCATCGAAGAGAAACGTTCATGGCATGTCGAGCAGATGCTCTCCGATCTCCCACCAACACCTCCTACAACTTCCCAACCTGCACCTCTACCACCTCAGCCTCATAAGATCAAGTCGCCTCGAAAGTCGCCTATGAAGCCCAAGGTTGTCGGCAAGGTGGCAAGCAGAAAGACCCGAGTGTCTCGGCGCTCCTCGTCCTCGATCACACCACCAAGTAAAATGGAGCCTGCGTATGAGACGGAGGTGATTCCTATCACTATCCCACCGGCTGCCTTTGAGGCGTTAGGAAAAAAGTCAACCTTGGCGCAGTCTATTTTACCCTCCGCGTTTGTGCTCCCTCCGCGTTCACCCCGGACGTCCTTACCCCCTGTGGAGGCATTCCTTCCTCCAGCGATGATCACACATCAGGCAATGTCAGGAGGAAATTCGACCGACACCGAGTCAGCCTCCGCTTCGAGCACTGATACTTCTTCGTTAGATGACACGTCGCCTCCTACTCAGGCACGAGCCGTAATACCGAAAATTGTCCTTCCATCACCTAAAACACCTCCTGCTCCTGTTGTAAATACACTCCGTCCATTCCCGCTTGCGAAGCCACTTGCGCCACACATGTCACATGCTTACTCGCCTGTCAAACCAAGCCCACTCTCTCGCATTCTTATGCTTGCGAACTCTCCTGACAGCCTGGATGGGGTATCAGAAGAGGGCGAAGACTCTCCGATGTCTGTTGTTACCCCACCAGTTGCTACAAAGAAGACGACGTTCCAAAGCGAATCAGAGTCAGATGATAGTCCTCTGAGGGATAAGAAGACCGAGCCAAATGTTGTTCATCTGGTTCCCTTCAAAAAAGTGCTACCCCCCGAATCGAAGCGCTTTTCGACAAAAGAGAAGGGAAAGACCAAAGCGGAGCTTGTTCCTGGAAAGCTGAAGCCAGAGAAAGAAAACTGCGACAAGGTCTTCCGAAAACCATCTCCTTCGTTGCCTCCTGCTCCTCAACCAAAGCTGAAGGCTAGCAGCTCAGCTGCAAACAAGCCTGCACCGAAGCTGCCTTCCGGAAAGGGCGGTGCGAGGAGGGTATTAATTGGGAGTGCTGAAGCCGCTCCTTTGCCTGGATGGCGAGGATGAGAGAGGTGATGACTAATAGTTTTTTGTACCACACACGTCCGTGATTTTCTCCTGCCGTATCATTATGATACCCTACGGTTTTCAATTGTAAACATTAATATCTGTGCCTACGTATGCAATAATGTTTCATAAGTGGAAGTATCAAAACAGAAGCCCATTACCAGAGCCAAATGAATGCCTTACAGCGAAGGATGAAGTGCTTCTCCCCGAGGGGCGGCCATGAATTAAATCATCAGGCGGCCAGACAGTCAAAATGTTATCTCCTGCGGAATATTGCTATCAGCATCCTCATGGACGGCCCGAGTTGTTCTCTGACGGCTCGCGTTGTTATTCAGAACTTTGTCGAATGGCACTAAAGTAGGTCCAAGAAGACGTGGATAAACGATAAACAGTTTTCATTGGCTGACTGGCTGGTGGTCGACAAGAGCGTGGAGTGCTCTTGGCGGATCAGCAGACCAACGTGTGTCAGATATGTCATATAAACGAGATCTGCAGCTTTGACAAAAATATACAGAAGCCTACCTTGTATCATTCATTAATTTCACGTAGGAAAGATCAAACCTACGGCAACAAAACAAGCATGCACCATCTGACTGGGGGTAGAAAATATCATCGTTTATCGACATTTTCCTACCTTTCTTATCTTCACTGGACGGATGAACGGACCTGCGAGTTCAAAGCTGCCTCGAATGATTGGACAGTTTGATAGAAGCAGGCATCATGGGACGACCAACTATGTATATGAGACCGTGTCCATGAAATCGACAAAGATTGACTCGGCAACTTTTTGATTAAACAGGACCTCAAGGGGATATCGAGCTGTTGGAGTAGTTGTGTCAGGAGTGCGTCCAGTATGAGAATTTGACGTAAAACTCGTACTGCGAATGTACCATCGTGATCGGGGCTATAGAACTGCTTGATTTAGATCGTCAGTAACAACGGGCTGCGACGACAAGTACTGCGCGTTCTAGTGGTTTGGCTTACACACATGTGCATTCGACAGCCTTCCTTGAGCAGACGCTCAGGCTGTGGTAGTAGTAGGCTAGTGTGTCGCCACAATGTGGTACAGAGCCATGGTGGAATCGGCCTGAGGAACATCAATCATCCTGGATTGAATACCGTCCGGCTGTCCTGGTGATAGTACTTTTGGCAGTCTTGGCATAAGTACCGCAGTAAAGAAGGCACACAATTTTAACAAGAATCCCAGCAGTGACCAGTCGCGAGTGCATTATTAGTGGAGATCACCGGCACCCCTACTGGTCCAACACCCACGATAAGCCCATCAACGAAGGCGGCCAAGGCCCAACGGCAAGCAGAATCGGCGAGCGACACGTTCAAGTTTAATCGACTCGGAGTGCACGTGATGTCACCACGCAGTGACATTGCAGCATTTTCACATCGCGTTGACAAGCGTTGACATGGACATCGCGCTTGAACCGAGTCCGCTACATGCATATGTGGCATTTGCAAATACATACTTAGATTCCGAGCCGTCGCGTGGTTGGCACGGTGATTCAACGTTTCAACGTTCAACTGATCGCGGAAGAAAAGCTCAAGTTCTGGCAGCCTCCGGTTACAACCGGGGGAATCGGAAAACCTTGGTCACCATCTAGAATAGCCTATGGTATTATCCCTTGTTCAACCTGATCAGAATCAAAAGCATTTACCTCGAGCACTTCAACGTCGTTAATGCTTTAAAGTTCTTCAGTCCTCTTCAACTCTTTGAGACCCGCGAATCCAGCAGCAACATCGTCAGACGAGATATGTTCTAGACCAGCAAGAAGGTCATCTGCGTCACGAGGCTCGGCCGAGAGTGGAGGTGTCCACGGGGAAAATGCTTCAAGATTTCGTGCAGCCTCGACAGTAATGCCAACCTCTTCACACGTGCGCATATGAGCATGTCGACGGCAGGTGGACTGCCCAGCTCCCCGGTGCTGTGTTTCAAATTGAGAGATTAAACCATCATGTAGAGTGTTGTGCTGAGATCACGGCCGAGACATTCACTCTCCGTAGGTTCGTCTAGATCCTCCAATGGTGCTAGCAACGATGTAGTTTCGTTTGATACATCATGCAGTAATATTGAGCGGGTAAATTGACTGTGACGGTGGCGTCATTCAGCTTACTTCAGGGATGATGTTCCGTTGAGTTCGGACTGTCTTATGATTCACAGCGCACGACGGTACTGTACCATGGGGCCTACGATTGTCTTGCTATGATATGCATCGGACGCCATTAGTCCTGGGACACTTGTGTGTCGGATGCCGATGTAAATACAAAATAGGAGCAATACTTTTAATCCTCTTCAAGTCAGGCCATATAATCTTGCTCGGGTCTACATAATTGTTATCGTACCATTTATAAGTATCGGAACCCGTACAAGTGCCCAGATCTCACAGCTGCCAGTGACACAGCTTTCGAAGGCGAACCGAATATCATGGGATTTCTGTTCGGGCGGGTCTTTCGTCAACACAGCACGCGTATTAAATAGTATATATATCTTCAAACCTTCATCCAAAAACACAGTTACTTTATCATCCCTACCGTCATGCTCAAGGAAAGTCATGTCGATGTCCTCATCATCGGTGCAGGTCCGTCTGGACTCATGTGTGCCAATGCATTAGCTGGCGCTGGAGTGGACTTTAGAATCATAGACAACAGGTCCGTTCCTTCTAGTTTTGAGCGCAGATGGATGACTCACGTCAACCCAGACCGGTAGGTGTGGCCGCTGGGCAAGCTGATGGCATACAGCCCAGGACGATCGAAGTTCTTCAAGTATGTCCCAAACATTCGCAATAGAACAGGAGTGATATTCAATTTCTCCAGAGTTATGGTTTGGCAGAGCCTTTGTTGAAGGAGGGTGCCCAGATGCATCTTTGTGTAAGTCTCAGACTTTCAGTTGATTCAAATCCTAAGCAATAATAATGTTTGTGTAGGCCTTTTACAACCCTGGCCCTGATGGCGGCATCGAGGTATGTTTGTCAATTGCTGTGTCATTATTTGTTCAAACAATGCCCGCAGCGTACTGGCCGGGCTGCAGACGTCACAGCTCCAACCGCCCGTTATCCCTTCAAGGTATGTTTTATCATTCAGCTCATTCATATCTGATTCCTGCTGTGGAGTAGATCACCATCGCACAAGCATCAATCGAAGCACTTTTCATCGAGTCCTTAAAGTCCCAAGGAATATCAGTTGACCGTCCGATCGTCCCTTCCTCCCTAGAAATTTCACAAGATCCCGCAGAACTTCTGGACCCATCATCATACCCTGTGAAGGTGCTCAAGATTCTAATCCCAACAAGACGCTACTTTTGACACATTGGCACAGGTGGTCTTGGACCACATACATTCTTCGGATGATACCCCAGAACAGGAAATCGTTCATGCAAAGTTCGTCGTCGGTGCAGATGGTGAGACATGCAACATGTCGAACGCTCTTGTAAGACTGATGGTGCCCATTGCTAAGGTGCACACTCGTGGGTTCGCAAAACCTTGGGTTTCACGATGGATGGGGAACAAACAGGTCAACTTGGGCACTCATTCAACATAAGATATGCTAATACGTGGAGCCCATCTCAGATTACATATGGGGCGTGATTGACTTCATTCCGGATACCAACTTCCCAGACATTCGCAATCGTTCTGCAATCCACTCCGAGAACGGCTCATGTATGATCATACCCCGCGAAGGAGACAAAGTCCGGTTCTACCTGCAGATGTCGGATAAAGACGTCATGGATCCTGAAACAGGAAGAATCGACAAGCAGAAAGTGACCGCCGAGAACCTCATCAACGTATGCAACAACTCGATCGCATCAAAGGACTGCTAATACCTTTTCCAACAGACTGCTCGCAGAACATTCTACCCGTATATAGTTAACGAACCAAAAGAAGTGGACTGGTGTTCAATTTACATCAGTAAGGGCATTACACTGCTATCATTGGGATCGCGAGTTGAACAATTGTCACTCCAGTTGGTCAACGTGTGGCCTCCAAGTTCTCTAAACATGACCGTGTCTTCATCGCTGGTGACGCTTGCCACACGCACTCTCCGAAAGCAGGTGAGCCATGTGATGGTCCGAGAAGATAAACATATCTCATTGCATTACAGGACAGGGTATGAATGCGAGCATGAACGACACCCACAACCTTGGTACGGGTTTCCTATTCCAGATGAAGTGTATTTCTCAGAGTCTTTGCAAATAGCGTGGAAGCTGGCACAAGTGCTGCGGGGCAGGGCGGATATTTCCCTTTTGAAAACTGTACGTTCGCGTATCACTCGTTCATGTCAAGGACTTATCACCCCCCAGTACGAGCTTGAGCGCCAGAAATACGCCCAGGATCTCATTGATTTCGATCGTGAGTTCTCCGCTCTATTTTCCGGCAAACCGAGGACGTCGGAAAACCAGGAGGGTGTTACCCATGAAGAATTCTTGAGGTCGAGTTGTCTCAATAGCGTTATATAACTTTATCTGAACCACGCTTCTCAGTGCTTTCCAAGCTTCTGGTGGCTTCAGCAGTGGTATCGGTGTCCATTACATGCCTTCAGCGATTGTCGATACTATTCATCAAGGCAGCGCGTCCAATATCATCATCGGCGAGCGGATGCTGCCCCAAATGTTCGTTCGTGCAGCGGATGCTCGTCCTACAGAGATCCAAGACATGCTTCCCGCAGATACCCGCTTCAAGCTCCTCTTCTTCGTTGGCCTTTTGACATCGGAACAGCTCACAAAGGTTCGAAGGCTCGCTGAGGAGTTGGAACTCCCCACAAGTTTCCTGCAAAAGTACAACTTCCCTGCCCAGGGCAAGGCACAATCCACGTTCGACATCATTTCCATAGCCGCTGGTCACAAAGACGATGTGAATTTCCTGGACATTCCTTCGACGTTGAGGACACACTGGTCTAAGTGAGTCGTCGTGCTTTCTACTGTCTCACGACACTGACATATGATCTTGCAGAGTCTTGATCGATGACACGGATGTGACAGGCCGCTTGGGTGGAGGCGCATATCCGAGATTCGGTATCGATGAGAAAGAAATCACGATAGTGGTTGTTCGGCCTGACGGTTATGTCGGTATGATTGCACCATCTACGGCATTAGAGAGCATGGATAAGTACTTCGGTTCTTTCCTGATAGGAAAAACCTTGAACCGGGAGGCGTAGTGCCTTGGCGTCCAGCATCACGTTTCTTGAGACGATTCATCTCGTTTCATACATATCTTTTTAGCATATATTGCCAATAGAGTCTAGACACCATAAGCATAAACGTGTCAGCTTGTCAATTGTAATGATAGTTTGTTCTATGTACGCCCATGATGGGGTTCCATAAAGCTGAGATGCTGAACATTACAGCTGATTGCAAAGTTACGTGGAGGCGCATAAGTTGACGTTGGACCCCGTAAGTACGTGAGACTCGAACACCATGCTGCAAGAGATACAAAGTTTGAGATAGACTCGCTTTTAATAATGGCCTCACCTTCAGCGAAGTCAAATTTCATATCTCAACTCCAAATACCTCGATTTCCTCACAGTTACGCATGCGAAGCACGATAACAGGTCACTAAGAAGCAACGGTACGCTTCGACTGGTACTAGGGTGTATTCTACGTTAGTTCGAGGCACGAGAACGTACGTAGAATTAGATCTATGTGGCGGCGCAGTGTTTTCGGGTTCTCACGCTTCTTGGTTTGTACTTCCACTCAGCACTCGCATTTACTATTCTCCGCGACGGCACGCTCGTTTCGTCGCAAATTCTTTAAAAAGAATATTCTTCAGTTAATATCATTATGCCGCGCATTCGCAGTGATCCCAACTTGAATTTATGCCCGGATTACAATTCAGAGGACTTCGCGAACACTCGAGCGCAGCTAGTGAACGATAACACTACAGAAGAACAAGCGGTGCAGTTGCTCAGGAACATCTGGCTAGCTAACAACAATCTAGACAAGCGTCTATGGCAGCAACAGCTGGAGAATGACAGGGAGGAACTAGCCCATCAGCAACGCATGGAAGAAGACGAGCAAGAACGTTTGAAACAAGAACACATCGATGAGGAGGAGGACGCACGCAAGGAAGAACGCAAGAAAAATAAACACAAATATATTCCGATTCAGAATTCGGGTGTACCAGACGACCCAGCAGTCACTCCTTGCTCGTATGCACTGCGCAAGCTCGACAAGGGAGAGTACCTAGAATTGTGGTATTTCACGAACGACGGATTAGATGAAGCATCAACTAAAAAAACGGTAGATGATGATGCAATGATTCTATCATCGTTACCGGACGGTTCAACAGCTTGGGTGTCATCAGCCTCGACTCGTAGCGCTCGCTCAGTTGTCAACGACGAGGACTTACCATTCGAGGAATTCTGTCAGGCGTGTCCTCGTTTCTTAGCAGCCTTAGAGGAAGCAGATTGGCCACAAGACAGGATTAGGATGACGGCTATCTTTTGGAGGAATCTGCAGATTCACAAATACCGGTCGCTCCGAGACCCATTAGCCCAGAAAACTCTGTTAGTCTACCAAGCGGAACAGCGGAGACGTTGGCACGTTGCAGCCAAATCCGCGGTAGGTCCATATGATCTCTCGATAATCAACGAGAAGGTCTTAGAGGACACGAGGAGCAAAGTCTACTGGGAGGATCGTTCAAAGAGAGATAATGCGCGGGATTACAAGGTCAGCAATCATTTCATTAATTGTAAACGAGCACACACTAATTGTTATTTCGCTTTAATTTTGTCACGAATTAAAATGTAAAATCTTGGTTGTAATATACCAATTGCTTCACTACATGCCTCACGCACCGCTACATGCCTCACGCACCGCTACATGCCTCACGCACCGCTACATGCCTCACTTGAAATGCCACATGCTTCGCTTCATGCCACAGTCGGATCACCGATTTAACTCATCTTCGCAGCAGCGAGAGTACAAAGATTTGCACAAACGTACAGCGTCCCCAGATCATAGCAATAGATCGAAAAGACCGCGTCAGGATTTTCGTGCGGGCGCAAGCGGAGGCGTCCTCTCCGCCTGCGCTGTATGTCTGGGACGCAACCCGCACAAGATCATCGAATGCAAGTCAGCCAAACTCTGGGACGAGTCACACGACACTATTTGTGCGCGAATCGGAAGGGTACTCACCATGCGAGACGGAAAAGCGGTTTGCAGCGACTGGCAGAGAGTCAGCGGATGTGCAGAGATCACGCACGACCGAAGGCATTTTTGTTCGGGATGTG